TGCAGACTTGAAGTATCTCTCTGATTTGTGTGACTTATGTATTGCTTCTCTTTCATCAAACCTTTAAGCTAAAAATATGTGGTAATCCCACTGTAGCTTGTGTTGATTAAGAACAAATATCAGACGCATACATTTGAACTGAATTGGACTCAACTTTGAAGTAATTAGTTCAAATGAAGCTAGTGTACATTCATATCTGGTTAATTTGTTAACAGAGTCTTTTGCAAGGAAATTGTCAGTAAGATTTTGGATTTTATTTAAAAGCCAAATTAGCATTTATTCATAGAGTTAAACCCATACTGTCTCTTACTAAACTGTATGTTTTCTAATCCACACATTTTGACCCTAGTGTTACATTGTTGACATTTATTTAACAATAAATGATTTTGTTTTGACAGTAGTATGGTATATAGATTGAAGAAGATCAGACACAAGTAGTCAATTGTGTTCAGGGTTGGGATATTTTTGACATGTCATTACCAAGTGTGAAAATAATGGCGCTGGAATGGTAAGGGATTCTTTCTTGCCTTGCAGGTTGGGTTGCGTCAGGAAGGGCATCCTTCTTAAAAACTGCCAAAAAAAAAAGCCACTGTTGTGACAACCTCTGTTAAAGGAACAAACTAAAAGTGATTCTTCTTTGATAAAAGGAATGAAATCATTCAGTGCCGTCTTTGTTGAAAATGATGGAACTCTTGCGTAAAACTGTAAATCTCTGGCGGTTCTTGGGATAATTTTCTGACTCGGTTGTGTTTGACAAAAGTGAACAACAACGTACCGTCGGCTAAACACACCTCAGTTATTTGTGCTTTAGGGAAAACAAATCGAAGTAACGTGAAAAAATGTTATAATTCCTTCGTGTCGTGTCATCACCGTCAACTTTGGATCTTCAGTTTGATTTTCAGATGGACTCGTATTTAGCAGCTTGACGTTTCTCTTCAGAGGAGTTTCCATGGGAGTATAAATAAAGTGGAGAATATGTTGCGCTAAAACCTTATGTTCTCACTCATTTATCTTTTTCTGAGCGAGGAAAAACAACTGGAAACATCATGGGAGGACAACTTGCGAATTGAGCCTAATGCACGAAATGCACAATATCGTCCACAAAGGCAGAAAGTGCTGCGTTAATCATCAACAAACCTCGATGGTCATCGTCCGTGTTGTTGCGAACTCGCCTCACAGAAAATGTGCACAATGTTGTTAAAAGAGATGGTATCGGAATCACCTGGATTTAGTTCTTTGCGAACTTCGTAGGTGCTTTTGGTTGCGTTGCGTTGCTACTGCATTTACCGGGTTTTTTTTTCAGATTTTTTTTCCCTTTCATTATTAGATGTAACACTGTCCACACTGTTGGGAGGAAACATTCTGTTGCCCTCTACTAACATCAAAGGTTGCACTTAATATTCTTCCTGCACTAATTAATGTGACTTCTCTCAGGGGCCCTTATGGCAGTTATGGTGACGGCAAAGAGCCTCGACCTCGATCCCGCTCTCCTGTGTTTGGTCGTGATGGACGTGACGCCAGGGATGGCCGTGACGGAAGGGAATCGGGTCGAGAGCCAAGGCCAAGCACCAACCCCCGTGATCCTGATTTCCGCTACCGGAGCTCGGAGAGCAGAGAGAAGGACGTAAGGGGAGACCAACGAGACCCAAGGGATCCAAGGGACACGCGGGATCCAAGAGACCCACGGGACCCAGCATACAGGTAACTATTTGTCATCCCATAATTTAGACATACAGGGGTTGACTGGTAACACATTTGTCTGACCCAGAAATATTTTTACTCAGTAGGGATGAATTTGAGCGATACTACCGCCCAGACGACTATTACCGGAGGAAGGAAGAACCTTACAGAGACCCGTACAGAGATCCCTGGAATGGACGCCGTGAATCTGAGGGTAGGAGTCATTTTCAAGGACAGTTTTCTGGTCCATAAACACTAGAAAGCTTACCTCTGACCAGTGTCTGCTCACAAAATTCATCTGTTTTTTGTAGCAGTCATCGTTTGGTGCATCAGATTTTGTCCTCTGAGACCTTACTTAAACCTCATCGATCAAATATGATGAACTTCTCACACTTTTTTTTTTTAAAAACCTGTTGAATACAAACATTTAACCTAGTTTTTAACCCCTGGTGCTGCAATGTTAAGAATGTAATTTTTTTCTGTGTCAATTGTTTGTACTGGAGTCCAAGTTGTCTCTAAAGTCTTTGTTCAACTTGTCTCTGGTCTTATGTCCCAAGTCCAAGGCAAGTTTCAATTTGAGTTTCATGCCCAAGTCACATTCTCCATGGTCCACTGACTATGACTAGAAAAACATCCAGATCTGAGAAAAAATGTTGTTGTGTTGCAGGGTAATTGACGAGATTCCGTTTTATTCGGCTTCCTGAAATGTTTTTCTTGTATTTTCTATGTGGAAGTGAGAAACTCATTTGTCAGACCTGGTTATATCATACATCACACAGACCCCTAATGAGTTTTCTAACACAGATGGTCGTGTT